CGCAACCGGGTCGCAGTTTCTCCCGCTACGAGAGGCTAACGCAACAGCAATTATTGTGTTAATGAGATAGTTATTTCAGTCCATCACAGTGTATGCAGAAACGGGATTCAGGGAACCACTATTCGTATTCGGCCCGACCGCAACTATTCGGCCGAATACAGAATAGTTATAAGGTCCACTATTCGGCCCCGAAGCAAATACGAAGCGAATATTCGGTACAGCCCTAGTTGGCAGTATACAGTTGACAGAGTTGCAGGACATGTTCGGCATTTTCTGCTGACAACTTGCAGGGACAAATCTCTAAGTTTCATATTCTTAAAAAACATTTTAACACATAAAGGTGAAGTCGGTTGTATTCTGTCCTTAGTCTGAATAGTACACATTTCCATCTCTAGAGAGGCGATGGAGCGAGTTCTGAGGCGATAATCTAGTGGGTGTGCCCGGCCACTTTTCTTAGATACTGAATTGAATTAGCCTCTTGATGGTTTAAGGCCCTATTTGGTTTTAACATGTCACTGTTGCTTCTGGCCAGTCTGTCCGCTATTTCATTGCCTTCCAAGCCACAGTGACCTGGAATCTACTGCAGTACAGATTGTTCTACTGAAGAGCCTAAGTGAATCAGCTGTTGGTTCAAGTCTACAAACTGGGTGTCTTTTGGGTTAACAATTGCTTGTAGAACTGACATAGCATCAGTCAGAAAGACCACTTTGCCATAACTGCTGTGCTGTTGTCCATTCAGAAAAGAACATGCAACCAGAAATGCATCTGCCTCTGCTCTGTCATCGGAGGAAGATGAACCTGTTCGTGTAACGTGTTTACCTTGTAAACCATTTGGACATTCTAGATATTTCCCCCCTCCTCCGTCTCTTATTTCTCTCTTAGCTGAACCATCTGTATGAATCTGTTCGGCCAAATGGTGAGACGTGATTCGATTGCGATGATTGTTCTTCAAGGAACATTAGGGGGTAGTCGAAAAAAAGGAGGGCAAAGAAGAAACTGGAATGACAACATCAAGAAATGGACATGACCAAGTTATAATGCACTTGTTGTTCATCAAGTGGAAGACAGAGAAAGATGGCGAGTTTTATGAGCAAGAGCTTCCATCAATACAACTTCACGATCCTAATGGGTCAAGGGTAATGTTATGTTATGTGACCAAGAGGCCTAGTAGCAAGATACAATATCCACAGTGACTGTGTTGCAACGGTATCCTTTTCCTCACTCAGCTCAGAAACGAGAGCACTGAATACAGAAACGGTATGGGGTTAGAACATCAATACATCATTGCTGGGGCTAGAACATCAATACATCATTGCTGGGGTTAGGACATCAATACATCATTGCTGGGGTTAGGACATCAATACATCATTGCTGGGGTTAGGACATCAATACATAATTGCTGGGGTTAGGACATCACATACATCATTGCTGGGGTTAGAACATCAATACATCATTGCTGGGGTTAGGACATCACAGACATCATTGCTGGGGTTAGAACATCAATACATCATTGCTGGGACTAGGACATCAATACATCATTGCTGGGGTTAGAACATCACATACATCATTGCTGGGGTTAAGATATCAATACATCATTGCTGGGGTTAGGACATCACATACATCATTGCTGTGGTTAGGACATCAATACATCATTGCTGGGGTTAGGACATCACATACATCATTGCTGGGACTAGAACATCAATACATCATTGCTGGGGTTAGGACATCAATACATCATTGCTGGGGTTAGAACATCACATACATCATTGCTGGGGTTAGAACATCAATACATCATTGCTGGGGCTAGGACATCAATACATCATTGCTTGGGTTAGGACATCCAATACATCATTGCTGGTGTTAGGACATCAATACATCATTGCTGGGGTTAGGACATCACATACATCATTGCTGGGGTTAGGACATCAATACATCATTGTTGGGGTTAGGACATCACATACATCATTGCTGAGGCTAGAACATCAATACATCATTGCTGGGGCTAGAACATCACAAACATCATTGCTGGGGTTAGAACATCAATACATCATTGCTGGGGTTAGAACATCAATACATCATTGCTGGGGTTAGGACATCAATACATCATTGCTGGGGTTAGGACATCACATACATCATTGCTGGAGATAGAACATCAATACATCATTGCTGGGGTTAGGACATCAGTTCATCAATGCTGGGGTTAGGACATCAATACATCATTGCTGGGGTTAGGACATCAATGCATCATTGCTAGGGTTAGAACATCACAGACATCATTGCTGGGGTTAGAACATCAATACATCATTGCTGGGACTAGGACATCAATACATCATTGCTGGGGTTAGAAAATCACATACATCATTGCTGGGGTTAAGATATCAATACATCATTGCTGTGGTTAGGACATCACATACATCATTGCTGTGGTTAGGACATCAATACATCATTGCTGGGGTTAGGACATCACATACATCATTGCTGGGACTAGAACATCAATACATCATTGCTGGGGTTAGGACATCAATACATCATTGCTGGGGTTAGAACATCACATATATCATTGCTGGGGTTAGAACATCAATACATCATTGCTGGGACTAGGACATCAATACATCATTGCTTGGGTTAGGACATCCAATACATCATTGCTGGTGTTAGGACATCAATACATCATTGCTGGGGTTAGGACATCACATACATCATTGCTGGGGTTAGGACATCAATACATCATTGCTGGGGTTAGGACATCACATACATCATTGCTGGGGCTAGAACATCAATACATCATTGCTGGGGCTAGAACATCACATACATCATTGCTGGGGTTAGAACATCAATACATCATTGCTGGGGTTAGAACATCACATACATCATTGCTGGGGTTAGAACATCAATACATCATTGCTGGGGTTAGAACATCACATACATCATTGCTGGGGTTAGAACATCAATACATCATTGCTGGGGTTAGAACATCAATACATCATTGCTGGAATTAGAACATCAATACATCATTGCTGGTGTAAGAACATCAATACATCATTGCTGGGGTTAGGACATCAGATACATCATTGCTAGGGTTAGGACATCAATGCATCATTGCTGGGGTTAGGACATCACATACATCATTGCTAGGGTTAGAACATCAATACATCATTGCTGGGGTTAGGACATCACATACATCATTGCTGGGGTTAGGACAACAATACATCATTGCTGGGGTTAGGACATCACATACATCATTGCTGGGGCTAGAACATCACATACATCATTGCTGGGCTAGAACATCAATACATCATTGCTGGGGTTAGAACATCACATACATCATTGCTGGGGTTAGAACATCAATACATGATTGCTGGGGTTAGGACATCAATACATCATTGCTGGGGTTAGGACATCAATACATCATTGCTTGGGTTAGAACATCACATACATAATTGCTGGGGCTAGAACATCAATACATCATTGCTGGGGTTTGAACATCACACACATCATTGCTGGGGTTAGAACATCAATACATCATTGCTGGGGTTAGAACATCAATACATCATTGCTGGAACTAGAACATCAATACATCATTGCTGGTGTAAGAACATCAATACATCATTGCTGGGGTTAGGACATCAGATACATCATTGCTAGGGTTAGGACATCAATGCATCATTGCTGGGGTTAGGACATCACATACATCATTGCTAGGGTTAGAACATCAATACATCATTGCTGGGGTTAGGACATCACATACATCATTGCTGGGGTTAGGACAACAATACATCATTGCTGGGGTTAGGACATCACATTCATCATTGCTGGGGCTAGAACATCACATACATCATTGCTGGGCTAGAACATCAATACATCATTGCTGGGGTTAGAACATCACATACATCATTGCTGGGGTTAGAACATCAATACATGATTGCTGGGGTTAGGACATCAATACATCATTGCTGGGGTTAGGACATCAATACATCATTGCTTGGGTTAGAACATCACATACATAATTGCTGGGGCTAGAACATCAATACATCATTGCTGGGGTTTGAACATCACACACATCATTGCTGGGGTTAGAACATCAATACATGATTGCTGGGGTTAGGACATCAATACATCATTGCTGAGGTTAGGACATCAGTACATCATTGCTGGGGTTAGAACATCAATACATCATTGCTGGGACTAGGATATCAATACATCATTGCTGGGGTTTGGACATCTATTAATTACATCACATACACACTTGGGGGTTTACGAAAGCAAATAGAGGACTTGTTAAGGGCAAGTTCCTGGCTGCCGTTAGGGCAGGACATACAGACTACATGCGGTTCAGCCTTACCTGGCAATGTTTCTTCCTCCACTTTGAAGTGTTTCGTTGTCTTCAGCGCAACATATCCAAGGCAAAGTAGCCAGACCGTTTGCTTCGCGCTCTGCATGGGGTGGGTTTGTTTCACGGGCATTCCGTTCAATTCACGAGAAATCCACGGGGAACTTAGATGAAGCTACGAAGTTCATGATTTGTGTGTGTGTGTGTGTGTGTGTGTGTGTGTGTGTGTGTGTGTGTGTGTGTGTGTGTGTGTGTGTGTGACGTTCTTTGTAAGCAGATTGTTGGTTCCTCGCCTCTCAGTCTGATGCACTCTGACTTCGAAGAAAGAACTTCTAATTAGTCGACTTTTGCGACTTTTTCTATTTCCTATGTAATGGGAGCCGGCAACCCAGGCGATGAGATTCGTTGTCTCCAACATAACGCGCAGAAAAGTCTTATACAACGTTCTGAATTAGGAGACTAACGGGGACAACTGTTAGACAAAAACTCGGAGCCTATGTAATGTTTCGATACACATAAACACACTTTTCTTTGTCATGACAGAATATGGAGACAACAAAAACTTGTGGCCCACGAATAACACAGACATATGGCTCACATTACGACATTATAAACAGCTGCGAAACCGAATAACACAAAGCATAGACTGACAAAAGAAAGAAAAGACATTATGACATCTGTAGCATCTGAGACGCCCATGCTCCACAGGCTACCAGCAGAATCATCTGATTTAATATCTGATGCATCTGTATACTGGATCAGAATTAGCCTGGGATTTGTTGTCCAGTTCGTTCTCCTGCCCATTGCCTTGACCACAAACGTCACCACCATGCTTGTATTTGCCAAGATCGGGATTAAAGATGGCATCTCTGTTGCGTTTTTCTCCTTATCCACTGCCCAGTTTGGATTTACCTTCTTTTTCTCCATTCAAAGGTTTTGTTATGCTTTTCAGTACTTCTTCCCTCAACCGTCGTATTCGAATTTCGGAGCTTTGGGATACATGGTTAGTTTTTATTCCACCATGTTTGAGGATGTAGCAAGTGGGATTATTGTCTTCACGGCTGTTCAACAATGTTGCTGTGTGGCAGTTCCGTTTCACTTTAAAAACACATTCACGTTTTCAAGAAGTGTGTTTATCGTCACAGCCATTTATCTGTGTGCGCTTCTCTACTATCTACCCCTGTTTTCGTGGCATGGAATAGGTAAAGATTTTAGTATTTTCAACAGATCTGTGATTTCCTACATTCATGCTCCTCAAATCTCCACCCATTTATCCATATCCCAGATCCTCAGAGGTCTTATTATGCCTGTTGTTTCTCAGACAACAATTATTGTGTGTCTAATCATTTTCACTGTTAAATTAACACAAGCTTACAGATTCCGAAAATCTGGTATGATTGTTGCCAGGCAACAACAAACACATTTTGTTCTGAAACCAAAAAGAAATTTTGATTCCAATAAAACTAGTACAAGGAAGCAAAAACAAGCTGAGCAGTTAAATAATATATCAGTCAAAGAAAACCCTAAACCGAATATAAGAAAAGAACTAAAAGTGATTAGCGCGGTCTATGCAACAGCCTTTGTATTTATTGTCAGCAACATTGGCAACATTCCCTTAAAGTTTACAGGTTTCTTTGTTGGCGGGTTTCAGGGAATTTATGGAGAGAAATATTTTAACACTTACGCTTCCGTCAACATTATCCAAGGTCTCTTGTCTCACCTGGCTGTGGTGTTACAAAGTTGTATTTACGTGAAGTTCAACACCAAATTCAGGACACAGCTGATTAATACGTGGAGATGTTTCAAATAAAAGAGCAATTCAATGAATTTCAAATGAGCGTTTCAATGTGTTTGTTAACAGTAGTCTTGCTCTTCGTGTTTACTGGCTGTAATCTCCGGCGGAAAGTTCTAGACTTTGTTCTTATTCTAGGACTGTAGCTATAATATTGAACAACGCTGCAAGTTTGTTTGAGGAAGTATATTAGTTGCGATTACAAGATTGCATGAGTAATTTATTCCAGTATTGTTAAGTTTTTTTTTTTTTCTTTTTTTATATTTAACTGGTCACATCACAAATTAAAGGAAAGTCCATGAAAAACGTGGCAACTGCAAAAATCAGCGGTAGAGGGAACAGAGGCAGACCTAGACAGGATAGTAGGAGCTCTAATGACGGAGTTATAGGGTAAAATAATCACAGCAATGTTCTTCAACCTGTGATTCACGGACAGCTCCAAGTGTGAGGACATTACCAGGTGACATGCTAAAAATACCTATTCAGTCATAAAGCCGCTACTTCATGCATGCGCTACATGGCCGCTACTTCATGCATGCGCTACATGGCCGCTACTTCATGCATGCGCTACATGGCCGCTACTTCATGCATGCGCTACATGGCCGCTACTTCATGCATGCGCTACATGACCGCTACTTCATGCATGCGCTACATGGCCGCTACTTCATGCATGCGCTACATGGCCGCTACTTCATGCATGCGCTACATGGCCGCTACTTCATGCATGCGCTACACGGCCGCTACTTCATGCATGCGCTACATGGCCGCTACTTCATGCATGCGCTACATGGCCGCTACTTCATGCATGCGCTACACGGCCGCTACTTCATGCATGCGCTACATGGCCGCTACTTCATGCATGCGCTACATGGCCGCTACTTCATGCATGCCCTACATGGCCGCTAAGGAAATGGGGCCATAGAAGCTCTGGCAGTATACGTCATTAGTTAGTTAGTTAGTTAGTTAGTTAGTTAGTCAACAGATTATCATCATTGCACGTCGAACCACTCAGTCCATAAGTGCGCGGATCCCCGCCCCAGTAAATCCCGCAGCGACTAGCGGCTAACAACACAGTTCTGTGTTGGTTTATTCTTCTTCTTTGACTGCCCGCGTAGTGTTTTTGTTTGGCGAAACATCGTTTAACATGTTCTTGCAGTCTGACCAAGGTTGCAGATTCACAGTTCTCAGTTGGTTCACGCAAACGTCTTAATCTCTTAGAGCATTCAGTATATCCGCCTGGTCCATGACTTGTCCGGCTTTCAGAGTAGCCTTACCTGCAAGTCTATCAGCAAGCTCGTTTCCTTGCACCCCCACATGTCCTGGCACGAAAATGAAACTAATTCTTGTCAGCCGTGAATTCTGTAGAGCTAACACCAGTGTCTTTTGACCCAGCCCTTCTCTATCTTCCTGAAAATACTCATCGAGTCACTGAGAAAGCATGCTCCAGTGAAAGTCTGTGTCTCTAGCCATATAACTGCTTTAGTCACAGCCATGACCTCCATAGTCAGACTACTTGTAGTTACGGTAAAAGCTCCAGAATCTTCCTTTACAATTCTCCCTCCAAACTGAGCCGTGAAAGCCCACGAGCTTCTAACCTTGGCGGATTACAGAAACATCTGTGTAAATGACAGCATCACCCTCTAGAGCGTTCTCGAAAATCAAGGCTTGAACTTCTGCTTCTACAGCAGCCGGACTCTTGCATTTTCTGTCTGGTTGGATGCAAACAGAAAAAGATGTACATCACTCTGAAGGCACTTGCACCCACTCCTCGCCGATCTCTATGTCCTCAAGTGAACATACCTGTAAAATAATGTCATCGGCTTGACTCATCCACGATTAGCCTCTTGTTAACCTGCTGCCTTTTATTTTCTTGATTTGACTATGTAATGTATGTTGTGTGTCCGCCTTGACTGTGAGGTAGGCACGAGCTCGCTTGGATGACGCAGGTGTCGTCTGTTGATAAGGATTCAGTGATTGCCTACTGAATGTCTGCGATCCTACTGAAGCCTGGGGTTCCGTCTCGCAGCGTTCAAGTGTGAGGTCCATGAAATGCTTAATTACAGTGGGAGCCGAGAACCTCCAGGGCGTGCATAGAAATCCCTTCATCGCATGCAGTCGTGTGAACCTGTGGGAGGTATGGAGAAATCCCTTCATCGCATGGAATCATGTGAACCTGCGGGAGGTGTGGAGAAATCCCTTCATCGCATGGAATCGTGTGAAGATGTGAGAGGTGTAGAAAAATCTCATAATAACAATAGAGAACGTAATCGTTATAAAGGTATCTCACACACACACACACACACACACACACACACACACACACACACACACACACAAAATCACTTCATCATAACATAGAAGGTTTACATGGCGAGGTGAAAGGTAATCATTGGATCTTTGGGGAGAACGTAAATGTGAGTGGTGTCTGGAGATACGACCATATCTCCCCAAAAACTGACATCTATTAGGGCTTGCGAAAAACACGTAACCTTTCATCTACATCAGTGTTTCCCGAACTTTTCTTAGCCGCGGGGCCTATTTCAATAACAATTTTTCCACGGCGCCCAAACCTAAGTAAAAGTATTACTATTTGTATGTAACAGATTTAAAAAATAAAATTCCTCTATCTTCGAATACTTTTCATCGCCCCTGGGAAGAGGTTGCGGCACAGTTTGGGAATAACTGATTTACATGATATGTCCTTTTTTTTTTTGACAACCCACAAGGTGCAATTGCATTAGATTATTGACATACCTCATCTTCACCTCTTACGACATGCTTGAAATTTAATGGTTTTAATATGCATTTCTTCACTGATAGGCCATGCTGGTGGCATTATTCTGAAACATTAATGTTTTTATGTATGTATATATATATATATTTCTATCAGCTCTGTTTTTAGAAATAAACCAAATCAGCCACTCTCATCTTCTAGCCACACATTCTCCTCTAGATGTTGATGTCATAGACAAATAATTTTTCAGAATATCCTAATGCACTTAAAATTACAAAATGTTGACTGATAGACTCTAAAAACACTTTGAACATCTAATTACTTCTTTTTGTCTGCTTAAAGTAACGACTATCTTGAAAATAATGGTTAAAGTAATATTCGTTTATGGCAGAAATCGTTTTAGACACGAAGATTACAACAACCACATTCACTGGGGAATGAATGCCCATACAGATTCACAGACTTCAATGAAATGAGTCTTCTTACCTTCCAGTCTATTAGATAAACAGTTTAAGGAAATAAAGCTGTACAATGGGTACTACCGTGTCTTTGTTTGGACACGATAATGTGAACGTATTAGTTCCTCTAATGTGACAACTATGTCAATGACGGCCGTGACTGTTAACTCTGCGTACATAGACTTATCGAGCTCCCATCTATTCACCAAGGATCGAAGAGTCGGGGAGAAAAGGTTAGATATGGCCAAGGCTTGCCAGGATGAATGACGGAAAATAATTGTAAAAACAGTTAAAATAGGTATGGATTCTGGGAGTTCTTTCTTTACTTCTTTACAACTATTATTATTACTATCACCATTACCACTACTCCTTCTACTACTAGTACTTCACTACTACTGTTACTGCTAGAGAGTCGCCGTGGCAGAGCGGCTAGACGCGCGCCGCGGATCGGAAGGTCGTGGGTTCGCTTCCTGGTGGAGACGTACTTTTCTTCAAAAATGACCTTGGCTCCCAGGTCGACCCAGCCTTGAGTGGGTACCGGGTGCAATCCCAGGAAGTAGAGGCGGCCGGCGTGATGCTGACCACATCACCCATCTTGTGCCATTGGTCTATAAAAATATAGGTCTAGCCCTATATGCCCTATACGCCTAAAGGAGTGGAAAGGGTCCTTTACTTTTTTACTTTACTTACTGTTGCTGCTGTACTACTACTACGGGCTACTACTGCTACCGCTGCTGCTGCTACGGCACTCGACTACTGTAGCATTAAATAGCAAATAACTATGATAGAAACAATGTGAAATATTTTACCACTTAATTAAAAAGAGAACGTCTATACGTGGTTATGGGAACTATTTAACCCATCTGACACAATTTCTGTGGGGGTTGGGGAAGGGGCTGTAGGGGCTCAGCCCCCGCCCCCAGAAATGTCAGGCGGGGGCGGGATGGTAGCCGAGCCTACAGGTTTCAGCGCTGATGATACAGTACAACACTTTTCAGTTACGCCCTGCCTGATTATCACTCTAAAATACAATAGTACAACACTGCTCCGTTACGCCCTGCCACATTATCATTCTAAGATACTACAGCACAACACTGCTCCGGTACGCCCTGCCAAATTATCACTCTAAGGTACAATAGTACAACACTGCTCTGTTTCGCCCTGTCACATTATCACTTTAAGATACTACAGTACAACACTGTTCCGTTACGCCCTGCCACGTTATCACTCTAATATACTATAGTACAACACTGCTCCGTTACGCCCTGCCACGTTATCACTCTAAGATACTATAGTACAACACTGCTCCGTTACGCCCTGCCACGTTATCACTCTAATATACTATAGTACAACACTGCTCCGTTACGCCCTGCCACGTTATCACTCTAAGATACTATAATACAACACTGCTCCGTTACGACTCGAGAAGGTGCAAAATTAAGCCATGCGTATTATTTTGGGATGTACAAGAGACACATCCTGTGGAGCAATGAGGTATCTACTTGACTTTCCAACAATGAACCAAAGGATCAGGATGTGGAGGGCTCGGGCATACCTCAAAATATGTGCTGATAAGAAACACCCACTGCATCAAGCACTTTTTAGTGAAAAGGGCGACAGACTGAAGAGGGGAAAATCATGGCTAGGTCGGGCAGAAGATGTTATTAGGCAAATATGCAGCCTAACCGACATCATACCTGGTGCAGAATGGATACCTGTGCCTCAGGCGTTTATTTGTACATTTTCCTGTATTGTCACACTCAACAGGCGATGTAGAGAAGAGAATCCTGTTGCTGTTAATGCAGAGGTCAACGCTCTCATTGGTGAAAATTCAGACGAAGCAAATGCACTAATCTATACAGACGGATCCGTTATACGCCAAAGAAGAAGCGCATGGGCATTTACAGCACGCTCAGCGGGCAGAACAGTCAAAGAAGCCAACGGCGCCTTCTCCATGACAACCAGCAGCATGACGATGGAGGTGATGGCAGTGACGCAAGCGTTTGCCTGGCTTGAAACACAAAAATACACCCGCGTGTGTATACTCAGTGATTCAATGAGTATGGTCCGGAGGGTTCAGGCAGGTTCAGTGCGAAGACAATGGCTTGAATCAATTCAGAAGTCCACTGTGCGAGGAGTCACCTTTATTTTTGTTCCGGGACACGCAGGCGTCGATGGAAATGAAAGAGCTGACAGGCTGGCTGGATCCGCTATCACTACCGACGGTCGGCCTATGGATCATGCTGATATTATCAATGCCCTCAGAGAAATGGGAAGAATAGAGGACTTTGGTGGCAGTGAATCCACATCACTCGCCAGAATGGCAGACTTGGGAATTAAGATCGGCACAGCAAAAAACGAGACGCACACCGGACACGTCAGAAGATTTGTTAATCAACACAGAACTGGTACTATTAGCCATCGGACGTTGGGATTCATACTGAGGGGAGGATCTGAGCACCTATGGACATGTCCGGAGTGCAATGATGATAACCCAACTAACTAACTAACTAACTAACTGCTCCGTTACGCCCTGCCACGTTATCACTCTAAGATACTACTGTACTTTATGTTACAATGGCACCGGAACGTGATAGTGCTGACCCTTAGCGTCACTCTTAAAGAAAGTAGGCCGACAGATTCCTACTCTTAGGTTGTGCTTTGTCCCATCGGGATATGAGAAATAACACAAAGAATCTCCAACTCCTAACTGTGAGTTTGAAAATGGTGGCATACCAAGAGACTCAGAACAGTCACAAATACCTATTGTGTCGTAAAGAAGTGTAAATATGTAAGAGGGACTATATACCCACACAGGGGAGTCCACATTTGAATATGACCTCGTCTCCAAGGGGACGACAGGATCAATAATAGTTTAAGATGAAGGGGTGGTTGAGACTGTTACGCGACAACAAGTATTGGTTTATACATTTCCTTTTTTCCCCCTCACAAATATCAATTTCAGCACTTTGTTATTACTGCTATTACTGTTAGTACTATTATTATTATTATTATAACTAAAACTAAGATTGTCTCCCTTGTTTCCTAGAAATTTGCATGGTGAGGACTCGGAGCTAAAGAAATTAGTCCACACTCCCACCCCCGTTTTCTTCCTTCAATGTTCTCTTAGTGTCGGCCCCTGTGCTATTCTACTGTAGCTAAACTAACATAAAAGGCCTGGGAAATGTGGTTCCACTGAAGAATTCTTAGAGTTCCTTGGACAGCCACCAAGAGCAATATGGATGTTTTGTTAAGAGTTCCTGGGACAGCCGCCAAGAGCAATATGGATGTTTTGTTAAGAGTTCCTTGGACAGCCACCAAGAGCAATATGGATGTTTTGTTAAGAGTTCCTGGGACAGCCACCAAGAGCAACTCGGATATAATGACAGAGATGAGGATCCCAAGAAACTATCGGAAACATGAGATAGAGTCACTCATCATTTAGCGGTCCTGTTGTGAGAAGACCGAAACTGGGCGTGTTGTCATCACTAGAAAGTTCTGCGAAAAAAAGACAGTTGATAATAAGGCCAGGAGATCTACAGTCTTGTGTCATGACAGGTTGGCGCATCGGTACACGATTCTGATAGATGCCGTTGAGGATAACTGATTGTGGAGAGGTATATATAATCACCCATGCAAGTACGCAAGTCACTACATGGTGATGATTTCGGCAAAGAGACCACCTGTTCAGAAAGCCTAACTGAGTGTGCGAGTTTCTGAAACAACATCTCGACGACGTTTTCGGGAGGGTACTTTTTTGGGGAAGACAACCGGTATAAGAAAATCAATCTGCAGTCGCTGCGCCCTTTGCTTCGTCTAAAGTTCTCCGCCTATTCTGTATTGGGATGTTTGATGTTGGTCAGAACATACCCTTTAATATGTGTGTAGCAGACACCTCCGACATTTCCTTTCACTGCTGCCACTTCGGCGTTTTTTTTTTTTTTTTTTTAGCCGTTATGAGTGGCCGAATTATAACTTCTTTGGAGACTGAACAGAATATATAGGATCTTTCTTGTTGGTCTGCTAACCAGACTGTCGTTTTATAAACTCATAGAGTGGTACGGTAAACATTTCGGTAACATCCAATAGGGAAAACACTGATTGATCCATCTCTCGACCAAGTCGACAAACTGTTTCTTGATTTCTGAGATTTTCTGCATTCTAAAGGTAGGGGTGTTGTGTCCTTTAGACTCTGGGATACACGCCCTGTGAACACAGAACCTACCCCGAGGTTAAAGTAACAAACAGGTTACAATTCTTAACCAATTCTACGGTGATACAATACAAATAACCTTCTCAGATTTGTAGTGGTATGTCAGAATAGAGCCTTAGAAGAGCTGCGGGAGTTTCAAGGAAAGACAGAATACGAAATCATGAAATCAGACGAATGCTAGGAATAAAGCCAGTCTTACAGGTCATCAAAGAACAACAAACGAAGTGGTTTGGACACCTAACAAAAATGCCTTGGTACTATCCGCCACAGCGAGCCACACTAAAACGTTACAACGGGTATAGAGCGAGTGGAAGACCTCGGAAAATATGGAATGATGGCATTAAGAACAGCCTTACATAAATGTTACATCTCCCACCGACACTTCGATGAGGTACAAGGTGGAAGAGAAGAAGATGTCAGAATAGTAATTGTTCCATTGTGTTAAAGATGTATTGCAAATGTTTTCATTGTTTTGAAGATTCTGAAGCTTCGGACCATGTTTTATTATTGTGATTGTGTCATTTCACCCTGCTTGTAAGATCCTATTGTATTTACAACATTGTTGTTATTTTATGAATGCACAAACTGACAAAAAAAATTGACTCATAATTTGGTACTATCCCGTCAATCAGGCACAAATTATCAGCACTTGTGTGAGGTCTCAAGAACCGCATATATGGACTGTGTTCATCCGCTACCACGAGGGGAGAGTGCAGCCGCTTGTCCAACCATGAATGGTGCAAAGATTGTGGTTTTCAGCAGATATTGTTTACATCACAGGTTATGGTAAATTCCTACCTGGATCTCCAGAGAAGTCTCCGTAGGATAAAACAAGTCCCTCCATCGCTGTTGCATACATGTGTTCATTGCCTGGATAGTCAAGACTTGATTTCCCAACCAACAGCTAACAATTTATGTTAAAATGCCTTCTGCTAATTGTAAAAGTCCCACAGTCCTACTGTCACCCACAGAATCAATTGATCTTATCTCCGACGAATCAGTTGATTTTATTCGTTTCACTTTGGGATTCATATTAGATTTTCCAATTCTTATATTTGGAATGTCAGCAAATATTATAAACATGGTTGTTTATATAAAAATCGGCGTTGGTGACACTGTATCGGTTTCATTTTTTGCTTTGTCGATAGTTCATTTTGGGTGCATATTTTTCTACTTCGCTGGTCGGGTGTTCTTTGTTTTAGAAAAAATATTCAACGTTGAATCGTACATAGATTTGGGGGCTGTATTTCATTTAGTTGCATTCTACAATTATTTATTCAAGGATATGGCTGACGGGGTTATTGTTTTCATAGCCGTTCAAAAATGTTGTTGTGTGGCCATTCCTCTCCATTTCAAGAACACATTTACGTATGCCAGGAGTGTGTCAGCATTAGTGATCATGTTCCTTGCAGCTTTGGCATACTATTTGCCAGCATTTACTGGCCAACGGTTGGGGCCTGTCGTAGACTCTTTAACCAACACAACCCGACTGGTTTATACTTACCACCCAAGGATCCTAATTCTCATAAGAATTTCTAAAGTTTTAAATGGGTTAATTTTGCCTGTTTTATCACATTCTTTTGTCGTTCTTTGCTCTGTTGTACTGTCAATCAAGTTGAAACGAGCGGTTAGCTTTAGAAATTCGAGACCTGCAAATAAAAAAGTCAAGACGAATACTAAATTACTATTTTCGAAAGAGACGTTTCCCAAACTTGATCTATTGCACCAAGAAAGTGGAAAACTGGGTTTTCCTAAGAGGCGTCTGCAGAAATTAAAAGGAAAAGAGCTAAAAGTCGTGCAGGCAGTGTATTTTACGGCCATTTTGTTTATTGCCTCCAACATTAGGAATGTTCCCATAAAATTTGTCGGATTCTTTGTCCCAGACTTGCAGGACATTTGTGGCTCCAGATATTACAACACATATGTTCTAGTGACCTCTGTCCAGTCTCTGCTGGACCATCTCGGCACCGCACTGCACCTCTTCATTTATGTGAAATTCAATCGGATGTACAGAAGGAAGTTGAAAGCCTTGTTCTGTAGCGATAAACCCACCACTAGAGACCAAAGACAAGGCTGGAAATTGAAAGCCTTGTTTTGTAGCGATAAACCCACCACTAGAGACCAAAGACAAGGCTGGAAAGTTGAAAGCCTCGTTCTGTAGCAATAAAACTACCACTGCAGAAGCAAAGGCGCGGCTAGAAAAGGTATTACCGTAATGTGGACATAACCGTTACATTCCACAATCATTACCTGGCACATTTCGGAATCTTTTATCGGCTGAAAATTGTAGAATGTCCGTCAACCTTCAATGAAGCATCAAACATGAATCCTTTCCATTGGAACGCACAAATTACCTTGTCTTTTGTTAGGCTGCCCACCTAACAAGAAAGTCTATCGATTAACTCAGGAATTTTTTTCCCTTCAACTGACGTGTTATTGTGCAGTTTTATTTCGAATGCTTCAACAATTTAAGCAATTCCCTGTTCTGTGTTAGATTATTATTATTTTTTTTTTTTAATAAACGGAACTCACAATCAATATTAATCACGTCCTGAGAGTCACGCGAGTGCCGATTGGTCTATAAAAGAAAGATCTAGCCCTATATGCTCTATTCCGTGGAAAATGGTCGTTTACTTATTTAGGGAGTCAAAGGTAAACAATTTGACGTGTAGGGATTGGCACAATGCTTCAGCCCGTTTACCGCTCCCTCCTTCTCCAGCTAAATCTTGTGTCATGAATGTTGTTGGTGGCAGTGACGTTTGCTTGTCTCTCTCTCTCTCTCTGTCTGTCTCTCTCTCTCTCTCTCTCTCTCTCTGTGTGTGTGTGTGTGTGTGTGTGTGTGTGTGTGTGTGTGTGGCTCGTAACGGTGCAGCCAGGACTCATCACCAGTCACAATGCAATGAAGAAAGGCATCTCCTAAAAGGGTCTGACGGTCCAAATGCTCGCTACAAATCGTCTGCTTAGTATTCATCGGAGAGCTGCCGGAACACATCTGCTAAACACTTTCCTATACCCACAGTCATCATCCTCATCATGTGCCCTGCCAACTGGCGTAGGCGCTCATGCGTCTCCACAGATCACGATCCCTGGTTGCATTGAACAGCTCTCTTGATGATATCCCTCAATGCCATCCTTTAAGCCCATCCAGCATCAACTCTTTTGGTCTGCCTCTACCCCTTTTTCCACTGAACTTTCCAGTTGTCACGATGTTCTCCAATGTCTCTCTTCTCATTGTGTGGCCAACGAACAGTCTTTGTCTCTTTCTTATTGTTGTTAACCCACAGTCGCCGTCAACAGTTGTGTGTGCAGCACCGTGAATCGTGTGGAATTCTACAGCAATTTTATCAATCGTGACTTCACTGTTGTCGCCGATTGCTCTGTCTGCTGTTTCACTGTCTCAGTTGCCACGCTAACAGGGCTCCCACACCGCTTGTCATCACTGACATTAACCCTTCCGGTTTAGAATGTGTCCACCCAAACATACTCTTTCCTCACAAACAACTGTCTCAGTTGCCACGCTAACAGGGCTCCCACGCCGCTTGTCATCACTGACATTAACCCTTCCGGTTTAGAATGTGTCCACCCAAACATACTCTTTCCTCACAAACAACTGTCTCAGTTGCCACGCTAACAGGGCTCCCACGCCGCTTGTCATCACTGACATTATCCCTTCCGGTTTAGAATGTGTCCACCCAAACATACTCTTTCCTCACAAACAACTGTCTCCATTACTCTTCCATGGTGTATGTTAGTTAACATTGCTGCTACATCTTGTACTAGCTGCTGCGCATGCGTACTTTAGGTATTGCAAAAGCGCCATTCTGTGTCCTAAAATAATAATTTTTTTCTGTACATTTTCCCAAGCATACTAGGATATACAGTAGAACCTCGCTTAACGAGCACCTCTCATAACGAGTAATGCGCATAACGAGCAAAACAAATTATGAAAGAAAGAGTTGCTTAACGAGCGACGTTTCGCATAACGAGTGGCGAGGAGAGGGGAAGTCCCGCATTGTGCACATTTTACATCAGTCTGTGTGTTTAGCACTCGTTCCAGTAGCATCGTAGTGCCGCTTGTGATCAAATATTTTCTCAAGCTTGTGTTATATTGTGATATATGTGCATGAATTCTACAGGCCTATAAGATGACCTTCCTGAAGAATTTAAGTTCATCAAGATCTAGTTTCTGCCTCCCAACACCACTCCGTTACTCGAGCCCATGGACCAGCAAGTTATTTCTGACTGTAAAAAGCTCTACACTAAAGCACTCTTCAAGCATTGTTTTCAAGTGACCAACCTCACTCTCAAAGATTTTGGGAAAAATCACTTCCACATTGTTGCCTGCCTCAAGATAATCGACAAAGGGTTACCAAGAGAACACTAACTTCTGCTTGGAAGAAGCTTTGGCCGGAGAGCGTTCTCGATTTGTGACTTTGAGGGGTTCGAGACATTATCTGTGGAACCTGTAGTCAACGAGACTGTGTTTTTGGCCACTATCATGGGATTGTAGGTGGATAACAGTGATATCGAAGAGCTTGTGGAAGAACACAGCCAAGAGCTGACCACCCAAGAGCTTATGGGGTTGCATTGTGTTTCACAGCAAGAAGTTTTGGAGGAAAGTTTGTCAGAGGAGGAGGAGGAGGTAACAGAAAAGCAACAATCTTCTGGCGAAATAAGATAAATTCTGAAAGCATGGCAAACTGTTGCATATTACATTGAGAAGCATCACCTTAATAAGGAAGTGGCTATGAATGCGCGCTGCAAAATTTTTAATGATAATGCTGTGTCGCATTTTAAAGCGTCGGCAGAAGCAAATGTCTCTGGACCTCTTTCTAGTAAACAAAAATAATTAGGTATGCAGCTTAATTATTTCGACTTTTTTTTTTTTTTTGCAAATCGAATTCGCATTCCATGTGGGTTCGTTCAGCGTTTAAAGAAAAGATAAAGATGATTCACTCTCCTTAACAATATGCATATAATTTTCTTTGAACAAACGTTGTACACATCATTTGTGAGTGTTTTTTTTTTTTTAAACATGGAACGCATTATCGTATTTTACATTATTTGTATGAGAAAAATTGTTTCGCATAACCAGTGTTTCGCTTAACGAGTATGATTCTGGAACGAAATATGCTCGTTAAGCGAGGTTTCTCTGAGGTTGCCTTAGCGTGATGACCTCCCCTGGTTTGTGATCTAGTGAAGGTGTGTAGAGCAGGGGCTCTAACCCTTTTTTGCCGCGGCACATTTGTGGGGCTGAAAACAAAACAAATTGCGGCACATCTACACTCAAAGAAGGTTGAAACATACACAAAAGCACACATACACAACACACACGCACACACACACACACACGCACCTTGCCTGTGTATATAAGTATTTACTTGACCAGGCTATCAGTTACTACTGTACAGACTAAATTTTCCATCTTAAATGTTCAGCCAAAATGTAATCAGCACTTATTTTATCTACTGCACCTTCACGAATTCAGATTGAGGATCGGTCGCACCTCGAGATAAATACAGGGACGGCACGTTTTGGTTGGCATTTTATACAGAATGATACAAGATGAGTGTGAAACACGGAATTAACTGTTTTCGACAGTGGCAAGGAAAGACAACTGAACAAACCAACTCCGAAATACAAAAAGAGTTTTTAAAATATACTAAAAAGATCACTGATGAACAAAAAGAATTATTAGATGCACAGATCACTTTAGACGACATTACATCGGCAATAGATGCCATGCAGAAAAATAAATCACCTGGTCCAGATGGACTTACAGTGGAATTTTTATAAGCATTTTATGCCAATTTTAAACTATACCATGTTAAAAGTGTATCAAGAAGCATTCAGGAAACAACAGCTTCCGGAGAGTTGTAACTTGTCATACATTACTTTGATACCAAAAGGAGATGCCAACAGGAAATTGATAAGCAACTATAAGCCAATATCTTTATTAAATATTGATTACAAAATTTTAACAAAAATACTAACCAAAAAAATTACAGCCAGTGATGGAAAATTTGACACATATAAACCAACAGGGTGGGGTTAAAACTAGAAACATAAGTAATCATACACAATTTGTAAGAGATTTAATCACATTTACCCATCAGAAAGACTGTCAAACCTCTCTCCTGTCGATGGATCAGGAGAAAGCGTTTGACAGAATTTCTCATTCATATTTATTAAATGTACTGAATGAATGTAACATTGGCCCATATTTTGCATCCTGGGTTAAAATACTCTATACTCAACCCAAGAGTCAAGTTTTGGTCAACCATACTTTATCAGCCGAGTTTCATTTAACAAGATCAGTAAGACAAGGCTGTCCCCTATCACCTTTACTGTATGTGTTAGCCCTTGAACCTCTGCTGGAAAAGATCAGACAAGACGAAAACATTCAAGGTACTTTCATACCTGGAGCAGAAGTTTGCAAACTCATTGCTTACGCCGATGACACCGCACTCTTCCCCTCCAGTGATGAAAGTATAAGGAAAATAATAAACACTTTTACAGATTTTGGCAAAGGAAGTGGGGCGAGGATAAATATGAATAAATCTCACATCATGGGACTGGGCAAGTGGAGGAATAAAACTGATTTTCCCCCTGATCTTAAAGCATCCGAAACTGTTAAACTATATGGTATCACTTTTCCAAATCATCCTGACATATTTAACGACCACAATTGGACAGAGTTAGCCCAGTCTATCAAAAAGAAACTAACAAGATACAAATACTTCAGTTCCACAATATTCACAAGAAGTCAGATAGTAAATACGTTCATCATACCTAAAATCCTGTACATAACCACAGTTTTAGACCCACCAAGAGAAGTAATTAGCAAAATAAATACTGCCATTAGACAATTTGTCTTCAGATCATCCATCCCATGTATCAAACAAAATACACTAATTCAATCAAAAGAACAGGGAGGCATTGATTAACAAGACACCAAAACAAAAATAAAATCTTTAAGAATAAAACATGTAGCACAAATAATTAACTCCCCAGAAAAATATCCTCTAGCCATGTATTATATAGCAGTCAGACTAAATTATATAAAAAAGATAGATAATAGCAGTCCTCATTACTTTGGCAGTCTGCCCCCATATTACAAAACATGCATTCAAAGTATAAAAGGCAATGAGACTATAATAC